CTTCTTACTGGTTATGATTCGAGCGCCACTGATGAGTCTTATATAAAAGAAACGCGCGTCTGATGTACCAAATTATAAGCCCTGGTATGTTTGATGAATTTTTATCATATAGCTCTTTCCAAAACTCATTTCCGGAATCACGAATTTTTACTCTAAAATTACAATTTGAAGTTGGTAATCTCCCTTTACGGGTAGAAGAACTGATTCGCGGTGACGAATTAGCGGGTTTTAATCCCTGTTGATTTAAAGATAATATTTGGTTTATATAAATATAGAAATTATTTATAGAATTTTGTTTTACAACAAACTCGTTATCAAAAACGATTACAATGCTGGAAATGTTTGTAAACTAAAGAAAAACATTGTAAGACTCACCGTTGCTCTGCACTGCCCCGAACCAATATTCATACCAGTATACTTCCCAACAAGGGAAAGCACTCGTATTTAATTGTAATTTCAAATCAGATTCGGGCTTTCGGAGATAAGTTTCTAGAAAGTCCTATACATGATGAGCTAAACAGATCATCAGAGAATTCTACAACAGCCATTCCGCTGTAGATGGTAACTAGCAGCTATGCATTTATTTGTACTTAATTTGAACACAAACGTTTTGATAGTAATGATGATTAAATCACAAAGTTTCAAGAACAAAAGGACAACCACAGGTAAAACAAACACATAACGATTCTTAATCACTCGTGGGAAGATACTGATTCTGTATATTTAACTTTTTAACTGGCAAATACAAAGGGGGTCGACCAAGTTCAACCCCGAGATTATACAGAACATTTAAAGTAAAATAACACTTTAATTTATAAATTTCGTGCACAATTTTTAACAGACGGATTTGCAGATTTCATATCTCTATAGTGCTTAAACCAGGCTTTTAAGATCGAATTTATGGAGTTTCTTTATAGCTTCATTCAAGTTCCAAGTATATTCAATACCCATGTAGTCTTCGATACCCTTTAATGTTGTTTTACACATTCTAACGTATTACAGACAATATTGGAAACTGACATTAATAGCCTTCCTCCCAAGTTAAATACAACTATTGTTTCGTTTTTGTTTATGCTTATATTTTGTTCTTTGTTCTGTTAACTTCAATACCCATGCAGTCTTTCATACCGTTAATTTTGTTTTACACATTCTAACGTATTACAGACAATATTGAAAGTAACATTAATAGCCTTTCTCCCAAGTTAAATGCAACTTTTGACTTGTTTTTGTTTGTTTTAAATTTGTTCTTTGTTCTAGTTTCAACACACAACTCCTTACAATATTTTTAAGCCTAGTAGTCAGCACTTCTGTGTTGACATGAATTATCATTGATGTGGTCATAATTAAAAATTAACTGTTCACAAAATTTTGAAGTTTCGAAATTCTGCGGATTTCCTACCCCAGGAATATATAACCTTAGCTATATTTGGCAAAACCTTTAGGAATTTTGGGTCCTCAATGCTCTTCAACTTCGTACTTTATTTGGCATTTTTTCATTTTTCGATTCGAGCGTTATTGATGAGTCTTTTGTAGAAGAAACGCGCTTCAGGCGTACACAATTTTAATCCTGATATCTGTGATGAGTTTATTTACATATATTGTTTTCTATGTTGAACACCCCATTAAGTATCAGATTACACACAAGGTTTTCTGAATATAATATCGTGGGTGCTGTGATCCAGCCATTTTTTAGCTACAGGTAGTCGGACATTTTTTTTAAAGCTGATTTTCAATGTTTATTCTTTATACAAGCTTCTGTAAATAAAGGCAACAGTAGTATACCGCTGTTTAATAGTCATAATTCGATTAAGCAAAAACAAATCCGAGTAACAAACTAAAACCGAGGGAAACACATCAACTATAAGAGATAAACAACGGAACTACAGAAATACTGAACTACAACAAAAGCAAACGCCAACATACATAGAAACGGACTGTCTGATAACAACTGCCATATTCCTGACTTGGTGCAGTATATTTTAAGAAAACAATGGTGGGTTAAACCTGGTTTTATGGCTAGCCAACTCTCTCGCTTATATGGCAATGTTAAAAAAACCCGCTAAAATGACATCACTACGTGACAGGAATACAGTACAAACAAACGCAAGAACACTCAGCACAGATAAATACATAAATAAATAAGACAATAGTACATTACAACATGTAAACCGCAGAATAACAACGGACACCTCCCATAAATTTACGACAGCACACCAGGACACCACAAACGAAATATAAACTTCGCGTCACATGAATGGATTTATATTGAGAAAACCATCACAAGTTTGGATAAGTGATTTTAGCTCAACATGCTAACTTGTGTTTAAATATTTTTAACAGAGAAGAAACCCAGGGACATAAGTTTAAAAAAAAGCAGACAACACAAGGATTGAAATGTAGAGCATCATAATTTTTAAAATCACCACTTTTCAGTTCATCAAATTCTCAGAAAAAAGTGTACTTCTTCTATGGCACTTCTGATAATCAAAGTAATCGAAATCACTGAAGGAAAGGCTAGAAAAGGTGTGTGCATAATTTCAAATAATATTCTCAGGTATCGAGGTGAACAAAAAAAAAACGTCACTCTTGCATTAAAATCAGAAAGATAATTGTTGTTTCCCGTTGATGAAAGCAAGCTTGTCTACCTATTTTTTTATACGTTGATAATACAAATCCCAACTCGTTCGCTATGCTCGTGTCTGTAGTGACGTTTTGGATTTCAATGAGCGTAATCTATGTATTACTAGTAAATTATTAAGTAAGGGATTTCGTTACCACAAATTATTTAAAACCTTTACTAAATTCTTCCATAGGTACAAAGATTTGGTCTGCATGTTTGGCTGTACCTGTAGAAAACTTATTTCAAACGGAATAGCGCATCCTAAATTTTACGGTGATGTTGTAAACCGAGCCCAGAAATTTAGATACAATCCTGGTAAACTATCAATCCTTTAAATAAACTTATTCTTAAAGGTTACCTATTCAACACTGTAATCAAATCTTTAAATATTATTTTTATTGGTATAAATATTGATTTTGTTATCAGTAAATTAAAACCATACTAAATATTACACATATGTACTTTCACGGTTCTACAATCAGTCGATACCTATATTTTGGCATTGCACAAGGTCATGTTTTTCTCTGACTGTTAATGACGTCTTTACACTAAACCCATTGGATGTTGGATGTGTACTGATTGTCATTTTAGTCTTAGATACATGATTTATTTTATTAGTTGTTATTGGCTTTGAACAAGCTGACAATAACTGCCAGTACGCTCAGATCTGTACTTAGTATCGTTTTGTTGTGGGGATGTATAAGTATCCGTCCACGTCCATTCTGTGTTTTTGTTAGATGCATTTTTATCTGTATCCATGTGATGAGTTAAACATTTTTGGACTGATTTTTATAGTTATTGTTCTTATGTTGTACTGTTACACACCGGTCCCAGGTTAGGGGGAGGGTTGAGCGCTCACAAACATGTTTAGCCCCGCCACATTCTTTATGTGCCTGTCCCAAATCAGGAGCCTGTAGTTCAGTGGTTGTCGTCGGTTCATGTCTGCCATTTTTGTGTTTCGTAAATTGTTTTGTTATAAATTAGGCCGTTAGTTTTCTCAATTGAATTGTTTCATATTTTTCATGTCGGGGCCTTTTATAGCCGACCATACGGTATGGGTTTTTCTCATTGTTGAAGGCCGTACGGTTGCCTATAACTGCTTACATCCACTTGATTTGAACTTGGGTGGATAGTTGTCTCATTATTATTTCAACGAGAAACACTTATGAACCACATCAACAAACGACAACTACTGAACATCAGATTCCTGACTTAGGACTTAGGACAGGTGCAAACAATTGACGTATACATCTGTGTATATCTGTTAACGGAAAGGATGATGATATTTAAAACAAACATGCACCAATAATTTTCGGGAGCTCTTCAGGTTACAACGTCCTCATATCATACGGATATTAAGTGATGCTTATATAAATAAAATATATAATTTATGCTTAATACCAACATTTATAACATTTCAAACTGCTAAGCGGAAATCCGCAAGCAAACATAATTATAAAATTTTCTATATTACATATCTTAAAAGAAACAAAGTCTTTATTTGGGGAATTTCATCTGATAAAATTCTTTAATAATAATTACAGTGTATGTTTGAAAGAAAAGAATAAAAAACATATTAGAGGGAACTACAAGTATCAGATAAACTTTACATTATCAATGATCCATGCATGAAAATGAAGTCTTGGTCAGATAAACCATGTCAGAGAGACTGTTAGACATGTACACCTTACAATCATTCCACATTTAATATAGTAACTGAGAAATAGACTACACCCCAAACAGTAAACGTTGTCCAATGAACCATAAATATGAGATCAAGGTCAGATGAAACATGGACATGTACACCTTACAATAATTCTATACGCCAAATAAAGTTGATCTACTGCTTATAATGTTTGCGATACAGTGGTTGTCGTTGGTTCATGTCTGATATATTTGTTTTTCGTAAATTCATGTTTTGTTATAAATTAGGCCGTTAGTTTCCTCAATTGAATTATTTCGTATTTTTCATGTCGGGACCTTTTATAGCCGACTATACAGTATTTTTTTTCTTCTCATTGTTGAAGGCCGTATAGTTGTCTATAATTGCTTACATCCACTTGATTTGAACTTGGGTGGATAGTTGTCTCATTGGCAATCATACCACATCTCCTTATTTTTATATTAATCACGTAATTTTAACCTTGATCACTATTCCATGAAAGAGGTCGATGTAAGGTGAGCTATACCTGACGGACATGTAGACATTGCATCCAGTTCTTCTAGTTTCTGAAATATATAGCTTTATACAAAGGTTTATGCTGTCGCTGCTGCCGCCGCTGCCGCCGGATTGTAGTCCCTATGTCTCGCATTCTGCGACTTTCGTTGCAAGCGAGACAAAAGTTATCTGAAACGTATTGTTACACAAATGAAGCTGCTATATACCTCTGAATTTTAATAAAGATTGTAAAACCTTTTGAAAATGTCCTTTTCGTAAATTAAGTAATAGTAAATTATGTTCAATCAATAGTTTAGATTAAGATTTCCAAACAAAGAAGTAAGTTCGTCCTTTCTTTCTGTTGGTCTTAGTTTCTTTTTCCATAATTTTCCTCCTAGATCCGCCTCATTATAGATTCGTTTTCCACTTCGAATATCAAACAGATGTTCAAATAGCTCTTCTTCCTCATGGATTATATCTTTTATCTTTACATCTACATCCAAATCATCTTCAATAAGGCCAAGTTTCTCAGCTTTCTTTAGAATCCATAACTTAGAAAGATTTCTGAGGACATAATACCTTGAATCTTCGTCTTTGTCCTCAGGCAAATATTGAACAACAGGAAGTGCTGGAACATCTGATATATCTGCACCCCCCTTTAATAAGGTATCTAATTCATACCCGGGAGAACCACGAATAATTTTCCTTGAATATCGAAGTTGTGATAGACATACACATTTTTTCTTGACTGTATTCATTTTGTGCAGATTTTTTTTCCAGTATGTACCCCCAGGATCACCACGAACTTCAACAAATTTTCCTCTGCATTCAGTTGTAAACTTTCGTTCTTCGATGTCATCAGTCTCTTCTACTTCAATCACATCGCACTTCCCAAACTGTTCTGCTTTTCTGAAAACCCAGAGTCGTCTGTTATCCAATGTGTACCAACGGGATCCTTTACGACAAACTTTTATAGTTCTTATATCATCAACATCCAGTTCATCTTCTAATATTTCATCAAGAGTTTCACCAATTTGATCTCCGTTAAAGAAGATTGGTCTGATAGAACTCTGACAATATCGAATTTCCGAAGGCTTCAACTCATCCACCATTTTTTAAATCTGGAATTTTCTATTTCGTCATCCACTTCTATAGAAATGAAAATGAAAGTAAAAGTATACGGTGAGTGTATATTTCCTTGATATATTATATTATATTAATGTTTAATGTTTATAGAAATATAATATAATATATCAAGGACAAGATGGCCTGAATTTTGACAAATAACTTATCTCGCCTAACAACCAATGATGAACAGCATCTGAACAAAAAACATCATTTTTATGTTTTTTTTTATATATTTAATGAATTTTCCAAAAAAAAAAATTTTGGGCTACATTTCTTTTCCGATTTTATATATGGTCAATAATAATCTCAGAAGTATTCGCATGTTCTTATGGTTATTGTTAATGTAATTTTCATTTTCACGGGTTTATGATTTAATTGGAAAAGATATATATATCCAGTAACTTGTGACGTCAAAAAGTTAAGTTCATATTTTACTTTTGAATTCGGGAAAAGTAGTATGTAAACTGTGAACACAATAGATATTTCTGAGTTTAAAAATGAGAATATCATGAATTTTGATTGGGAAATGAGTTCAAAGTATTTTAATTTTTTTTTACATATTTGTATAAAATAATAGGGAAAATATTGAAAGGGAATGACTTTTGTCCAAGTACTGTACAAGGTTTATTTTGACATATTTGTATAGAATAACAGAGAAAATATTGAAAGGGAATGACTTTTGTCCAAGTACTGTACAAGGTTTATTTTGACATATTTGTATAGAATAACAGAGAAAATATTGAAAGGGAATGACTTTTGTCCAAGTACTGTACAACATGTACAAGGGTTATGATAAACTTCCATGCCAGCAAGTAACTTTTCTAATAAACATCTATTATGTCTGTAACGATAAATAACTTTACTCAAACATGAACGCTTGTCTACCAGGATTAATAACCTTACAATAGCATGGTTACTTGTGTAGGACAATTAGTAGCCGAACATTAATAACCTTACACATAGCGTAGACTCTTGTCTAGAACGACTCATTACCTTCGGTGCTTTGCTTTTGTGCCAATTGGCATTTCATTTGCGCAAATAATACAGGTAAATACAGGTAAATAGTATAAAAAATAGATTTCTTCAAAAGAGACTTTTAAACACGGTTTTTGATTGCATAATAATACATATTCCTCCGAGATCAGTCATCGTAATTATATTACGAAAGCACTATACACTGCTACGTTCTTAATAGGAGACTTTTCATAATAATGTTAAAACACAGTTCTGTTATAAATTAACGAGATCATAAAACCTATAAGAAAGCACTATACACTGGAGTAAAACCAAAAGTTTGTTCTGACACAAAGACTTGTAACCAACGGCTCGGATGTATTCATGTACACTGTATAACCTATATGCGTTGTCATAAAACATTACAGACTTATTTCCTCTATTTAAAAAATAAGAAGATGTGGTATGATTGCCAATGAGACAACTATCTACCAAAGTTCAAATGAAATGGATGAAAGCAATAATAGGTAACCGTACGGCCTTCATAAATGGGGAAAACCCATACCGTATAGTCGGTTATAAACAGCCCAGACATGAAAATAGAAACAATCCAATTGAGAAAACTAACGGCCTGTTTGTCTCAGACTTGACAATGTCCATCTTTACATCTCAAACATGTAAACACTATATAGTTTTAAACCTAAGTGACTATATCGGTTTTATATTAGAAATGAAAAAAAATCTTATTCACGATGAAACAATGAATATTTTAAACTTTTCAGTTATATGTTACCTGTAAAATGACGCAAATGAAGTTTTTATTTTTTGGCGCAAATGTTATATAACCTTGTGGCGCAAATAAAACATTGGATTTTGTAAAAATTGACGCAAATGCAATGCGCCCATTACCTTACACATAACATGCCGGGTCGATTAATTAACCAACACGTGGCATATGTGCGTGTCTATGAGATTAACCTCGTGGCATTGACGCTTGTCTAGTACGATAAATTACACAACTCATGACATGGACGCTTGTGTAGAATCCCTGGTCTGTGGCCATTATTAACCTAACTTACGACATTGACGCTTGTCTAAAACGGCTAATGACCTAACTTATGCAAAGACCATTTGTCTAGTATGGTTAATAACTGTACGCATAGCATGGGTATTTGTCTAGGACGATACATACCATTAAGCATAGCATGGACCTTGTCTAGGACGATTAATAACCGTACGCATAGCATGTATAGTATGGTTAATAACTGTACGCATAGCATGGGTATTTGTCTAGGACGATACATACCATTAAGTATAGCATGGACCTTGTCTAGGACGATTAATAACCGTACGCATAGCATGGGTATTTGTCTAGGATAATTATTAGTCTAACTCCTGTGATGAATGCTTGTCTAGTAAGATTAATAACTTTACACATAGCATGGACGTTTGTTTAGGACGATCAATAACCGAACCCATGGCATGGACGCTTGTGTAGAACCACAGGTTTGTGGCTATTATTAACCCAACTTACGACATGGACGCTTGTCTAGGACGACACATAACCTTACACGTAGCATAGACACATATCTAGGACGATTAGTGACCTAACTTATGCATGGAGCTTGTCTAGGACGATTAATAACCGTACGCATAGTATGGGTACTTGTCTAGGAGTAAGTAGCCTAACACCTAGGATGAAAGTTTATCTAGTATGATTAATAACTTTACACATAGCAAGGACGTTTGTTTATGACGATCAATAACCTAACTCATGGTACGGACGCTGGTCTACGACATTTGTATTCTAACTCATGGCATGGACGCTTGTGTAGAACCCCGGGTATATAGGGATTATAATCACCTATCTTATGACAAAGATGCTTGTATAGGACGATTAATAAACGAAATCATGGCATGGGCGCTTGTCTTGGATGATTAACAACCGTATGCATATCATGGACGCTTGTCTTAGACAAAGAATAACCGTACGCATAGCATGGGTACTTTTCTGGGACGACAAATAACCCAACTAATGGCATGTACGCTTGTCTAGGACGATTAATAACCAGGTCGTGGCACGACTCTTGTAATCGTTCGCTTATCATAGGTGCTGGTCTATCTAACTCGTGACATGGACGCTCGTCGAGGACGATTGATAACCTTACTCATGGCATGATCGCTCGTCTAGCCGTCTAGGACGATTAATAACTTACTCATGACATGAACGCTTGTCTAGGACGATTAATAACCGTACACATAGCAAGGGTACTTGTCTAGGACGACTAATAACCTAACTCGTACCATAGCCGCTTGTCCAGGACGATTAATTACCGAACGCATGGCAATGGTACTTATCTAGGACAAATAACTTAACTTATGGAATGGACACATTTCAATGACGAGTTATAACCTACCGCATATCATGTACACTCATCTAGGACGATTAATAACCGTACGCATAGCATGGATACTTGTCTAGGACGACTAATAACTTATGACAAGGACTCTTGTGTAGAACTCCTGATTTATGGCGATTTATAAACTTACTAATTAACTGGACACTTTTTTTCTTATTAAAGACTAAAAATTAGTCTTTATATCCCGTTTTATTCTTCACTTTTTTTCACGGAAAAAAACCCCCCAAAAAAATCAGTCAAAAGTTTTTATTGCCAAACTGAAACATATCTGCCAAATGTAGTTCAAATGACCTATAAATAATACTCTTATCTGCGAAGGATATTCTATTTATTTTTATAATTATCCTTGTCCATTTTAGTTGGAGAAATGTAATGAGAGTCAGTTTATTTACATGTACTTTGCAAATCTGAAACAATTTCATTATTTCTAGATTATGCTTTTTTATAAATAATTAAACATATAAGCTGTTCCTGTTAATTTCTGCATTCTCGTACCTACCAAAAGAATGGGGATTGTTTGTTATATTAAACAAAATGCATACCCTGATCATAACATTTCGGTACACTTTCAGCTGAATGATTTTAGGAATATGAAGCCAAACATTTATTTACCTAACTATGTTTGTACGCCAGATTTGAAATAAACAAGTTATTCACAATATTTTACGTTTTAATGTCGTATCGCCCCCTTAAAATAAACTAACATTTGTTTTGTACATTATATGGTTCTTTCAGTGGCGGATCCAGGGGGAGGGGGTTGTCCGGGGGTTGGAACCCCCCCCCTTTTTTTTTATAAATGGCTGGATCCGCCCCTGCAAGAAGCATTGCAGTTAATTTTTTTTCATGTTTAGGCAATATAAAACACTTTATCCTGATTTAGAGTAATTTCTCGCAATTTGATTGGCTGATATTGTCCTAATAAATTTCAGTGCATTTTTTTATTAAGTTAATTCGAATTATCTCCCTTATACCATTGACTTAATAAAAAAAATAGTGGTGTGATAACAAAATCAGGATAAATCGTTACACAGTTTGCAGTTGTCCTAATACGGAATTTATCGGGTTTGGCTTCGCCTCACCCGATATGAATATTATTGACCCGATAAATTCCCGTATTAGGACAATTGCACACTGTGTAACTAATATTATATCTATATATTATAGAAAAAAAAAATGAAACACTATTTTTAAAACAAAACAAAACCATGTGGTCGTTTTAAACCAATTTCGTGTACTTTTATAAAATCTGGTTACGGCACTATAATTGTATAAAACCCGGTGTAATCACAAATATCATTCTTTAGCACTTCAGGTAGAATAATAACTTGTAATTTATTATTTTATCGCTTTTCAATCATAGGCACTGCGTATACCTGTCTACTTTTTAGTATGATATCAAATGTACCGAGATACTTGTGTATTAAATTAAACAACAACAAAAACTCAATAAAAATTAAAATAAACACAAAAACCTGAAAAATAAATGTTTACTATCTAAGAGTACAACACATAAAACCAGGTACATGTATAATTTACATATCAATTTCATTTTGTATACAAACCATAGATATCTAGTGGGTAAGTAATGATATGTGATGTCCGTACGACGCACCCATCCACAACTATATAATATATTGAAAGGGAGTGTCCTGCCGTCCAACCTCCAGTGGCCTATCTACAACTTCTACTCAACCAGTGGATTTCTATTGAAAATCTCACAGCTTATACAGTACATAATAATGTGGTGATAATTGTTTTTTCAAATTATTACAAAAATGATATTAAGGTTTTCCATCGCAAAACATAAGACTTCTTAATTTTTCCGAATAAGGTTTGACACCAAATTCTTTTTCGTTCCCTAATAAAAAAACACTCAGCTTTGATGCGAAAGTATGAATTTGTGTGAGATCATATGAAACAGACCAATATTAGTTCATGCATGAGGTTTTCTAAATGTGTGCTTATAATTTACAAATGCATGTGCTTTCCTCCCAATAAGGTAATACAATTATTCGCTCTTGACTTCTGACATTTAAAAACAAATTTAGTGATGTATTGGAAACGAAGAAATAGACACAAATCACCGTCACCATGAAGATGTAAAGGATCTTTCGACGGTGGATCTATTCGAAATGTGGACAATTACATGCAGGTGCTTGACTTATAGAAATGACAGTTGAATTGTTTTCAAATTTTTATAAGAGAATTTTCTCTTTTAACAGGATTGAAATACTTAACATATAAATACGGTTTAAAGAGGAAGCTACCTTCATTCCCTAGTGAACAACATGAAATTTAGAAGATTAGATCATGTCTGCACAATTCTACACGACAACAACACATTATACACAATAATATCACATGATAATAATATATTAAACCTTAGACTTCGATTAGGCTTTTAACCTTTGATGAGTTATAATTAAAATGTTCAGAGAGCACCACGGGTATCATTACATTATGTTGACACTCGTTATCTCAATATTAGCGGACTGACACAAATAATGAAGAGGAATTTTGAGATAAATTATTTTGAAATAACGAGAGACAACTGCATCTGCTAAAATCTTCTTGTCCAATGGAAAACCAGAATTTCTCCTCCATATTTTATAATGAATGTGACTTTTTCCTTTTAGATTCATCACAATAATGAACTGTGAAGAACTACAAATAACGAAGTGTATAAGCACGAGCAAATACTGTCTATACCGCAAACAGAACATATTATTTGAAGCCGAAAAAATCAAATAGCGTTAAAACAACTGTGACAATAATAATAAGCTAGTGCATTGTGAATTGTCAAATCGATTTTGTTATCAAATATGAATCCTTCAAATATTGCAAACATATACATGATATCTACAAATCACACCATCGATATGATCATGGAAATATATTAGATGGAAAAGAACCAGCATTCATTGGATCAATTGATCAGGTTGATTAAGATAGATGACTCGACTAACGTCATACTTCCGCCTTCTACCCGACCGTTTATCTATATGAAGCGCCTAAATAAGTTCTGATTGGTGGAATAAAAGAACGGGGGACGCTCCTCATGGGAATCAGCACCAAACTCAATGGTTATATGCTTCACCACAATTCCCTTATACCCATGAACGTGTCATGACTATTTACGATATGTTGTGGATGTGAATGAACCGCATATAAAACATCCCCTTCTTTCAAAGAATATGCAGACCCTACATAATGAGCTCGCTTTCCAGCGGCACTTATCATTATACATTGGGCAGAATCGCTTTCAAGTATTGGCTGCGATTTTCCATTACTCCCTAGGAGAAAAATTTGAAGTGCTGTGCCATTGTGCATTCGATTTTCAGCCATTTCTGTGATCTGGCTATAAATAAAATACATCCTGTCTTTCATTATTGTAAATGTACCATTTGTAGGATCATAACTTAGCGAACTATTTCCTGTTTTATTGATTTCTGTGTTTTGATTCCATCTGATACTGCCTGTAAAGAAACCAAAAACAAAATTACAATATTTTTCGGCACATACTGTTGAAATAATCTTGACATAACAAAAAACTTTCAGCTTCAGTAGCGGATCCAGGAAATATGTGAGTTATATAAATAAACCAGATATGTGGATACATGTTCCTGAAACAGAATACTATACCTGATAGGCACTATTACCACCAGACATCCATTGATAATTTATAGATATTTAATGAGACACTAGATTCCATGATTATACACAGAGCGACCACGAGGCAGTTGATATTTTTCATTACCCGTTACAAATTGATCTATAAAGCCAGTCGGTTATTGCACACTTCAGTTTTCTTTTAACTGTCTATAATATCAATTTTCGACATTTTTTTAATTAAGTACAGTCCAGTAGATATCGATAAACAGGGTGTTACCTAAAATTAAACCAAAGAAATAGGAGTTAATTGCCAATGAGTCAACTATCAACCATAGACAAAACAAGACGTGGATGTAAGCAACTATAGGTCATCATCAGGCCTTAAACAATGAAAACCCATACCGTATAATAAACATATAGCGTATCGCCTGTCAACAGAACCAACAGTAATGACTGTAATCGTATCGTCCAGTAATCTAACGAGATTTATAGCAATAGTTCTTTGGCATGGACCTAATGAATAGTGTTAAAAAGGACGTTTTAGAACATTGGACAAAAGCATTATCAATCATTATGGCAAATGGCAGACGTCGTAAAACATACAGAAGCGCCATTGCTGCATTAGCCAAGTTGTGATCTTTATAGATTTGTAATAGAAAAACAGTATTTGGTATTTTTCGTTTGTTTGGTTTTAGTGATGTAGACTGTTAATGTTGTCCCAAGTTAAGTCCACCAACTGCCTCTGTGATATTAACATTTGACATAGTAATCTTAAAACCTATAGGAATCTTTTTCACCATCATATCATACCATATATAGTATTTAAGAGTCCTGCAGCAGTAAAAATGTCTGTCACCCTGACGAGACCGGTTTCGTATTTTTTCTCGAATTTCTTACAAACGTATAGTTGTTTACATCCTTTTCTTTTTGTCTTTGGTGGATAGATGTGGTTGTCTCATTGACATTAATAACAAATCACCTTTTTTTTAATATTAAAGAGTTAAATTTTAGTACTGATACCCAAAAATTAGTGATTCCATTATCAACAGGGTATTATAATGTTGCAGGATGTATATGGTAGTTCACTGATGGCATCAGTCATGCAAATATTTGTGTCCTTCGTCATTTTTGTTGCCCTGGTTTTGTCTGTTTTTCCTTGACTTATCTTTTTGATTTGTTGGTATTCAACTTGTCTCAGCTATGACATCATTTATATTGTTTATTGGAAACTTCAGGGTACAGAATTATCCCAGCCATGTCAGGTACAATACTCTTTGTTATCTTCAATGGATTCTAGCACAAGGCTTCTTAATCGTCTTTGGTCTAAGGACTTCGTGTGTAGTATCCAATACCATTCTTGTCTATACATTCTCTGGCTTTGAAGCTAGTTTAATTTAATAATTTTATTAAAAAAGGTTCATCACATAACATAGATGAGCATTCAAAGTTAAAACATTTGCAAGTGTTTATGCCATGGGATAGTCCACAAAATGTCTTTTTTTTTAAACTCTAGTTAACAAAACCATTTCATCCGATACAAATTTTGCTGATACTTTCAAATCTTGAAAACACAACATTATAACTACTATACCTGAAACTTACAGATCCTTTTGTTCTCTGGTACCGTTAAATCAGACTGCATTCCATGGTATTCGTCAATATGTTTGGCATTTTTTGCTGCTGGAAATTGTATTTATTGAAGTATATTTCATTATGTTCATAAAATACCTCTTTTTCTTTAGATCCCTTTTGCTATAATGTACGCAGATCTATATCCACAACATTGGCTGCAATATGTTATATGTGCTTTCGTAAATGCATCACAGTGTTCTTACTAATCTATTTATCCAAAGTGTTGTCAGGTATCTATTATCTGTGGCATTAGTATAATGCATTCAGACTTTTATCTAAAGTGTTGTCAGTAATCTATTATCGATGGCTTTCGTATAATACATTAAGACTTTCATCCAAAGTGTTGTCAGTAATCTATTATCAATGGCTTTCGTTTAATGTATTCAGACTTTCATCCAAAGTGTTGCAAGGAACATATTATCTATGGCTTACGTATAATGCAATCAGATTTTTATCCAAATGTTGTCAGTAATCTATTATCTGTGGCTATCGTTTAATGCATTCAGATTTTTATCCGAAATGGTATCAGTAATCTATTATGTGATGCTTTCGTATAATACATTCAGAATTATATCATAGTGTTTGTCAGTAATCTATTATCTGTGGCTTTCGTATCATGCATTCTGACTTTTATCCATAGTGTTTGTCATCAATCTTTTATATGTGGCTTTCCTATGATGCGTTCAGACTTTTATCAAAAGAGTTGTCAGTAATCAATTATCTGTGGCTTTCGTATCATGCATTCAGACTTTTATCCAAAGTGTTTTCAGTAACGTATTATCTATGGCTTTCGTATAATACATTCAGACTTTTATCCATAGTGTTTGTCAGCAATCTTTTATCTGTGACTTTCGAATGATGCATTCAGACTTTTATCCAAAGTGTTGCCAGTAATCTATTATCTATGGCTTACGTATAATGTATTCAGAATTTAATCCAAGGTTTTGTCAGTAATCTATTATCCGTGGATATCGTTTAATGCATTCAGACATTTATCCAAAGTGGTATTAGATCTGTGGTTTTCGTATAATGCATTCAGACCTTTATCCAAAGTGTTCTCAGTCATCGTTTATCTGTGGCTTTCGTATAATGCATTCAGACTTAAATCCGAAGTGTTTCCAGTAATCTATCATCGGTTGCTTTCGTATAATACATTCAGAATTATATCATAGTGTTTGTCAGTAATCAATCACCTGTGGCTTTCGTATCATGCATTCAGACTTTTATCCAAAGTGTTTTCCATAATCTATTATCTATGGCTTTCGTATAAAATACATTCAGACTTTTATCCATGATAGTGTTTGTCAGCAATCCTTTATCTGTGGCTTTAGTATAATGCATTCTGACTTTTATCCAAAGTGTTGCCAGCAATCTTTCACTGTGGCTTTCGCTAAATGCATTCAGATTTGTATCAAATGTGTTGTCAGCAATGTTTAAACTATGGCCAATTGGATATTGGGGGCTTTCGTATAATGTCTTGTCAGTTGTAATATCTAGTTGTAGTTTAAATCCTCAGTAAAGATAGTAAAGATAGAGATAAGGGGAAGATCAAATATGTTACTGTGTCTTCTTAAGCGGCATGTTTTCGCGATCTTAGATCTTTAGCAGTTAGCAGTATCCTTTTACTTTACTTTCCGCTACGAAGATGATGTTCTCTCACTAAATAATTCAAAATTTGGTGACTATGTTGAACGCATCTATCCCATCGAACTTGAGATAAATCATACAAGTTACAACAGATACAGTTAAATCATCTGCCTCATATCTTGACTTACATCTAGAAATTGACAATGAGGGTCGGTTGAAAACAAAACTTTATGACAAAAGAGATGATTTCAGCTTCCCAGTTGTGAACTTTCCATTTTTATGTAGCAACATTCTAGCAGCGCCTGCATACGGAGTATATATCTCCCAGTTCATACGATACCCCACGGCTTGTATTTCCTATCATGATTTTTTTGACAGAGGTTTGCTGCTCACAAGGAAGCTATTAAACCAAGACTTCCAAGTGGTGAAGTTGAAATCATCCCTTCGTAAACTTTACGGACGCCATCACGAGCTGGTTGACCGTTACGGAATATCCGTTTCACAGATGATAGCGGATATGTTCCTAATGTCGTAACTACAATCCCGTCCCCTTTTCCCGAATGTGACCTACCGAATTAGAACTATTACCGGGTTTGTACTACCATGAGCAACACGATGGGTGCCACATGTGGAGCAGGACCTGCTTACCCTTCCGGAGCACCTGAGATCACCCCCAGTTTTTGGTGGGGTTAGCGTTGCTAAATCTTTAGTTTTCTATGTGGTGTTTTGTGTACTATTTTTTTGTCTGTTTGTCTGTTGGTGTTTTTCTTTTTTAGCCATGGCGTTGTCAGTTTATTTTTCGACTTATGAGTTTGAATGTCCCTTTGGTATCTTTCGCCTCTCTTTTAGATACAAGTATAGTAGTCTGATCTGTAGTTTTATCGATTGTGTCCAATACCCGACCGTGACATTTTTACTGAGTGTAAATTCGCATGGCGGTGATGCATGTATAGCAGGAGACGCTTAACCTGTGGACGATCTCGATCCTCTTAGGCTTAGAGTTCATGAGATTACCTCCGTTTTTGTTTGTCGCCTTAATTTTTTCGATTTAGAACATCGAGAAAATACTGTCGCGTTAATTTAAGTCATTATCTTAAGTTGTAGCGTAAAGGAAGCGCCGTAAAAATATCGGCAAAATTTGATTTTTATATTTTACAAAGAAATCTACATGAAACATTTGATATTATACTATAAAAATATTCATATTTTAATGGCCTTCATGTATTTGTTTAAAATACATATTGTACCCACCTTTAAAGTGTTACCTGTATAAAAAGCATTGGACCAGGGACAGGTGACTATATAGAATTAATTTAAAAAGAAAAGATCCATTCTTTTGGAACAAACACATCTTTCAATTGTTATGATTATTCAAAAAAGAACTTATAGAAGTGTACATGTATATATATATATTCGTTCTAAAGAAGTCGAAGAACATGACGAAGACACACTTCATCAATATCAATACATTTCAGACTTTACTCAGGCTGTTTAATCGTAAGGGTAATCGGAAGCTGTCAAAAATTTGTATTCATCTTTCAGGAACTCAAGTTTGTGAGCAAATTGATGAACAGAAAACGAGTTTTCTGAACATTTTAAAATTACTTTGTTCTGAAATAAGTTGCAACATAGCCATTCTAGATAATGAATTCAACCACGTCAGCAGTCACATCTTTATTATCAATTACTGCATTGTTATAATAAATATATAAATTGAAAACTCTTCCGCTGATAACTTGGATTTAGCTTAAACCTTTATTTATTGTACAAATTTAAGATTTTTAGGATCTTCGCTACTCTTGTTTCAAAATAACAAGCTTTTTAAAAGACTGTTATAAATTTAAAGTATATAAATAAAGGAACCAAAAAAACAGAAAAAAATGAAGGGGCTTTTAAAACTATATGAAACAAAATTATGAAAAGAAAAGTAGGGGTTAGTGAACAAAATTATTTAATGGCAAAACATGGATAAAACCAGAGGATTCCGAAAATCTGGCAAAAAATTCAATAAACAAGAGGAGCGAACATCCTTAATGTATTTGACAGTAATCAAAACCAGTCTAATATGATCGAATCTCGTCTAAATCATTCTATACAAATATATATGACCTCCAAATTATTCCTATATATATATATATTTCTCTAATTCTTCGATTTATCTGTTTCCTGACCTGTTGATTATTTTGATTGAATCAACGTGTGGTTCTCAGTTTTTCATTGGTCAAAATTCAATTATGACGTCAAATTTTCTTGCTTTCCTATGAATTTCCTGTGTTTGACTTTCGTTCTTGACTAATGAAAACATGCTTGGCAAATGCTTTCGCAGTAGTTCGTCTTACGGCGATCCAAGATTTCACCTCTAACACCGTAAAAAGGCGACCATGTCTGATGACGTTACATAGAAAGATCACATCTTTTTGGAGATCATTGGAAAAGAAGGATAACGTTTGTCTGCATATCGTATAAAAATCTTTAAAGAAACACATCCTACCTATCTCATGCAATACTATATTTCTCCACTCGCGACATTTAAAGGAGAAGGTCCGGTAACGGCTTAATTTGGCCTAAATGTACATGTACTAATGTCGAAGACTTACCACTAGCTTCAATACTTGTGTGTATGTCGTCGACTTACCACTAGGCTCAATACTTGTATTTATGCCGTGGACTTATCACTAGGTTTCATAACTTGTATTTATGCCGTTAACTTACCACTAGGTTCAGCACTTTTATTTATGCCGCGGAATAAGTATACAGATGGCGCAGTTTTCCGACAAACAACGTTAGCATAATTAAGTTTTTCTGAAAAAAAAAGAAAAAAAAATTATTGAGTTTATCAGTTATACTGTATAGAAACAACTTTCTTTTCTGAAGTTCTTGATTTTGTTATTCAAAGGATTGAGATAAAGAGAAAAGCCCTATTACCAAAATAAATGTAACTGTTAAAGTGTGTTACGTCAGGAAGCTTGTAGGTGGTTGTGTTTTACGTCAGTAACATTGTTTTTGGTTGTGTTCTACGTCAGAAACCTTGGGAGTGGTTGTGTTTTACGTCAGGAACGTCAAGAACATCGTTAGTGGTTGTGTCTTACGTCAGTAACCTTCTCAGTGGTTGTATTTCTACGTCAGGAACCTTGTCGGTGGTTGTGTTCAATGTCTTGAACCTTGTCGACGGTTGTGTTTTACGTCAGAAACGTCAGGAACCTTGTCGATGGTTGTGTTTTACGTCAGGAACCTTGTCGGTGGTTGTGTTTCACATCAATAACCTTCTCAATGGTTGTGTTTTACGTCAAGAACCTTGTAGGTGGTTGAGTTTAATATCAGGAAACTTGTCAGTGGTTGTGTTATACGTCAGGAACTTGTCAATAATTAAGTTTTTCTGAAAAAGAAACAAAAATTCATTGAATATATCAGTTTCATAGAAACAAATTGCTTTTCTGAAATTCTTGATTGTATATATGTTATTCAAAGGATTGAGATAAAGAGAAAAGCCCAATTACAAAAAAATGAATTGTAACTGTTAATGTGTTTTACATCCTTCTCCATGGTTGAGTTTTACGTCAGGTACCTTGTCGGTGGTTTTGTTTTACGTCAGGAATCTGGTCGGTGGATGTGTTTTACGTGAGGAACCTTGTGGGTGCTTGTGTCTTACGTCAGGCACCTTGTCGGTGGTTGTGTTTTACGTCAGGAACCTTGTGGGTGGTTGTGTCTTACGTCAGGCACCTTGTCAGTGGTTGTGTTGTACGTCAGGAACCTTGTCAGTGGTTGTGTTGTTCGTCAGGCACCTTAATTGTCGATGGTTGTCGTTGTTTATATAAGTGCAGCTCTTCTTTGAGTCAGGAACCTTGTGGGTGGTTGTGTCTTACGTCAGGCACCTTGTCAGTGGTTGTGTTGTACGTCAGGAACCTTGTCAGTGGTTGTGTTGTTCGTCAGGCACCTTAATTGTCGATGGTTGTCGTTGTTTATATAAGTGCAGCTCTTCTTTGAAGAATTTAATATGAACGTAGTCAAATTCAATCACTTCACATTTTGAATTCTTAAATCCATTAAATCTGGACGATGTTGTATTTGCACATTCCCTTTGTTGAAAATCGTATTTGACCTCTAACAGGGGTGCGTTCAATATCATAGCTGCTACGTCGATTTCGACTACTGAACGTATAGCTAGCCTAGACGCTTAAAATAGATCTAGATAGCCTAAAAAATTCATTATATCTAGATAATCCAATTGGCGTCCGATAGGTTATTATTAATGACGTCATTTGGATAGCCTAGCTTTTTAGCATATCGTTCAACATAGATAGATATCTATGACATATCGGCTATCTAGCTGCTACGGCATTGAACGCAACCCTGGTCTTCAATTCTGGGTTAGTTACATTTTTGGCTGCTGTCACACTGTATCACTGTTCCACATTTTCTATTATTCATATTAAAAAAAACATAAAAACCAGCGTTGTACAACTATTGATCACATATATAATTATATATAGCACTCAGGATCCCGTTGCTGTTGGACTGCCCGTCATCGATGGCTCAGTAGTCAATGTTGTGGTAATGACATGCTTTATAACAAACATTTTTAAATTATCCTTTAATAAATTAAGTGATCATTAAAAAACTCAGGTTCCGACTCCAGCAGGCAACGTTGACCTTAGGTGGATTTGGCGTTTCCTATTAGTTCAACGTTGGACATATAGCTTCTCAAGTATTACAGTATAAATACACAAACGATTGGCTTTCATTTCAAATTTTTGGGGTCAGTGAGCGTTCCTATAGCTATTGAAAGTATATCACGAAAAGCTCAGTCACAGAGCTATGCACTTGTATTTGAATTCACTTGCTTTAATTGAATATTATGCCATTTTATGTTATAAATATGTTTAGTATTCATTAGTGTACTGATCAATAAATCGGGGGATTTATGATAATGAAGGGGAGGGACTATGAGGGATCAACACAGGGTCCCGGCTGTCCTCAACTGAGCACCTATGGTACTGATAAGCATAATGTGCTTAAAGTAATAAAGAATTGAATTATCAATTTTAAAATATTCATTAAAATGTTCAACTTATTATTTCAACCCTTTTTTTTTTAATTTCCTATATGGACTTTGGACAACAAGTACCTGGCATTATCTAGGCTACATACCTGCCATATATTGCATTTGAAGTTTTCTCATGTTCTGGAAAATATTCAAAATAAATGCAAATTAAATGCAAATTAAAGAATATTCAAAAAGGATGTATTTCATTTCATTTCTCTTTTGTAGTAAATTTCTCTTCTTTACTTTTGATTTTTATTGTGTTACTTTAGTTATGATGGCGGCTGCAGAATGTGAGTTTATTGCATACTATCTAAAATAGATTTCATATTTACTTTTACTTTCGGTTTTGATTTCTTAAAAACCCGTAACCACTGCCGACTTCAAAAACATTAAACATGTTAAATTAAAAAAATAAATTTAATATCATTGGACAAAAAACCCAAGAGTAATCCAAATATAATAAACATTTAAACTACTAGACACAAAGGACGAGATAACTAGGTCATAAACTGGGTTAAATCAATATATAACACTTACCTTATCAATTTCGTCTGCAATATATTTTTCTGGCTTTATTCTATCGCATTGTTTTGTTTGGTCTGTTTTAACACACAATGAACGGTCAACATTAGGGGCAGGTATCATATCCTTTATTGGCCCGTTTCTTAATGCAGTCCATGAAACCGAAACTGCAAAAATTGCAACTATCAACAAAATATTGAGTACTAACAACAGTAACTGAAGAATAGTCACACAATTGTCACTTCTTTCTGTTACATCCTGTTGTTTGGTTTTATCCATTTTCACTCGGATACAGGGAAACGTTAATACAGGTTTTCACTATTGCGCACCAAGGAAGTATAGTGCTTGTACACTATCAGTTGTAAATATTACCCTGTGTTGATAATCTAAAAATAGACACACATAATACATGTACAACAAAGCCTTAGATAACTGTAACACACAGTTACACAGAAATGTCGTAATCTATTTGATAATTAACACCCCGTACCATACAAGAGCAAAAATGTGTATACTATGTATTTAGGGACGACCGTTTGATTATCTGGAGGTATTCATTTTCATCTGTTAATTTCTGCACCAGGGGCGGATCTAGCCATTTATTAAATGGGGGGGGGGGGGGGGGGGGGGGGGGGGGGGGGTTCCACCTTTATGTCCCCATTCAAATGCATTGATCGTCAAAAAAAGGGGGTTCCAACCCCGGACCCCCACCCCTTTTGGATCCGCCACAGTGCACAGTGCAATCATGATTCATGATGTTTGCGTTTTGAGTTGCAAAATTTGCATTTTCATCCTGTCTTCGACGAGATTATTTTTTTGCAGTTTTCGCAAGCCAGTATCATGATTTTATTCATTTTAAAATCCTCCCCACCACCTGAAACATTATTTTTCATTTTTTAGGAGGGAGTCTTATAAATTCAGGATATCCAATTACAAGTAATGACATCTTGTTGTAAATATATACATGATGACATCAACAATAAATCCATTTATGGAGCCCTTGTGGTTAATTTGGAATTTAAACAATTTGTTAAATTTCATATTATGCGTATTTAACAAGTCTTTGATTAAGCGTGACATTCCTGTGGTTTTCGAAAATTATTCATACATGATTTCGGGTGAGTATTGGGTCTTCTGGGTGCAGCTCCGTTCTTGTTGACTGGATTGCACTTCCTTTCAATTTTGGTTGATTTCTTCCCGTAAATAGTCTCGAGCTGATACAATTGTAAATGCCCAGAATAACCTAAAATACCAGGTTCAATCAAAGCTTAAATAAACTATAGTAATCGTTATCCCCTCCAACTAAAGTTGTGAAAAATTAAAGAAAAAGTTACTCCCCGTCTGTGTGATCTTGGCACTTTTGCAGCATCAATTACCAATCCGCTTTTGTGAAAAGCCTTATCAACGGGTTTGAGTCATTAAGGTATTTTATTTTCGAATGTTTTGGCCTTACAATTTTAATTGGTTAGTCAATGTTATTACCAGGAGTAACACGGCTGGTGTCATTAAATGAACAGGACAGAACAGATTTTGTAATGCCGGGATATTTTATAGCTTACTATACGGTATGGGTTTTAGACAATGCTTACATCCATTTTGTCATTGGTGAATAGTCTCCATGATTGGCAATTATACCATGCACATCTCCTTATTTTTACAAAAATGTTTTCCCAATGAGTACCAATGAGTACCCATCAACAAGAATTAAACAGATGTACACACAAGGTTCAAATGTTCAAGAAATGAGTGACACGTTCAAGAAAGAGTTATTCCAAAGCATGGACAAACATATACCATCCAAAGAAATCCGCTCAAAAAACAGCCTTCCCTGGATAACACACAAAATAAGGAAGATGTTCAAAAAGAAAAGCCGATTATACCAGCAAGCTAAAAGAACAAAAAATTGGTCAAACTACAGGCACTTCCAAAAAGAAGTCAAAAGTCAAATAAGGAAAGCCGAATGGTCATATATCAACGACACCATACTAAAGGGCATAGAAACAAACAATACCAAGCCATTCTGGAAATACATCAAATTCAGAAAAAATGACAACATTGGAGTAGCCCCATTAAAAAACAAAGGGAAACTCATCAGCGACAGCAAAGGGAAAGCTGAAATCCTAATACAACAATTCAAATCGGTCTTCACAATAGATAAATCCACATCAATACCAGACACAACAAAACATATTGAGGAATCTATACCAAACCTCATAATAACAGAAAAGGGACTAGAAAAACTGCTGAAAGATGTCAACCCATCAAAAGCTTCTGGACCAGATGGATTTCCAAACAGAATTTTGAAAGAATGTGCAAGTCAAATTACACCAGGACTGACAGCAATCTTCCAAAAATCTATAGACACTGGAACCCTTCCACAAGACTGGCTTAACGCAAACATATCATGCGTTTTCAAAAAAGGCGATAAACATACTGCTGAAAATTACAGACCTGTATCGTTAACATCAGTACCATGTAAGATCCTGGAACATATAATATGCAGGCACATAATGAAACATCTAGAAAAGCATGATGTTTTAACATCTTTAAACCATGGTTTTAGATCCGGTTACTCATGTGAAACCCAACTACTTGTCACTATGAACGACTTCATGAAAGCATATGATGCCGGACTACAAACCGATATTGCCATACTAGACTTCTCAAAGGCTTTCGACACAGTACCCCATAAGAAACTACTATCAAAAATGGGCGATTATGGAATCCGTGGGCCAATAAACAACTGGCTGAATATGTTTTTGACAAACAGGAAAATGAAAGTGGTAGTGGAAGGAGAACAATCAGAAGAAGTAACGGTGGACTCTGGAGTCCCACAAGGCACAGTCCTGGGACCGTTGCTATTCCTTTGCCATATAAAGGACCTCCCAGACGCCGACAAATCTTCAGTCAGACTTTTCGCTGATGACTGCCTTCTTTACAGAACAGTGAAATCTCAGAAAGACCACGACATACTTCAAGAAGACCTCAAAAACCTAGAAGTATGGGCAGATAACTGGGGAATGCGGTTCAATGCCAAAAAATGCTACATCCTAAGCATCAGAAACAAGAGCCATAAATTCTACAGTTTAAATGGACACATACTACAGCAAGTCCAGCATAACCCGTACCTAGGCCTACAAATTTCGGAGGACCTCAAATGGACCACCCACATATCAAACGTGGCAAAGAAAGCAAATTCAACACTAGGCTTTCTAAGAAGAAACTTGAAATACTGCCCACAAGATTGTAAAAAAACAGCTTACATCTCGCTCGTCAGATCAACGATGGAATATGGAGCCATAGTATGGGACCCCTACACGGTAACTAACATAAATAAACTTGAAAGGATACAACGTCAAGCGGCAAGATTTATCACCAGAGACTACAAGTCAAGAGAGGACGGATGTGTCTCCAAAATGCTTGCCCAACTGGAACTACAAGATCTCCAGACAAGACGAACAAGCCAGAAGTTAATATTTATGTACAAAGTGGTTGAGGGACTGGTTCCCGCTATTGAACCAGACGAATTCCTCAAAAAAGCACGTCCGAAGAGAACCATAACTGCCAAGAAATTCGAAGAATACCACGCAACAAATATTGTGGAAAAACAAGTAAAAAATCACTCTAAGTGTTTTGACATTCCACCAAGCAAAACACCACAATATACAAACTCATTCTTTGTAAAGACAGTGATCGCGTGGAATCAGCTAGACGACACTGTAGTGCGCGCATCAAGCGTAGAGAGCTTCAAATCTGCTCTCACGCCCCGTCAATAAATCGGCGGCGCTCTCTCAAACCGTTGTATTAAAGCCAGTATTGGTATCGACAACGTATTCATACAGATACAGATACAGAATGATCGGCTAGCACAATCACTGATCGCCATCCATCGAAGTTGAAAATTGATATGATACACTGAGTTTATCCTTTAGCCCAATATGTAAAATATTAATATATCAGTGTTTCTAAATTGTTTCAACTTATAAATCCTCTCCTTCACCCTTTTATATTTTGATAAAACCCCTTCCCTTCAAAAAATACTTAAAAAAAACATCACTCTTACTCCCCTTAAAGCGTTATATATATAATTAAAAACCAATTGTTCAGAGAACAATTGAAGGTCTTTCCACTCATAAAGATCTATTTTGAAATAGAACTATTAAAATTTGGTTTAAAATATCATATTCAGCGTTTAATGATAGTTTATTGTACACTGATTCCAAAAATACATGATTTCTATACATTCTTTTCAAAATAAGGGAGATAAATTGTTACTTCCGGTTTGAAAGATGTCACTTCCGGTTTTATTTGATAGTTTACTTGATACTGATTCCAAAAATATATGGTTTAATATACTTTTACATTAAATAAGTACAAAAAATAGCTACTTCCGGTTTACACAAGGTCACTTCCGGTTGGCTTTTCCATGGTCAAGTGCCTTGCAAGGTATCCGGTCGTTCCGTCCCCAAACCGATCCGGCCCCAAGTCGATCCGGCCCAAAGTCGATCCGTCCCAAGTCGATCCGGCCCACGTCGATCCGTCCCTACGTCGATCCGGCCCCATAATAAAATATGAATAAACTATATTGACTTTGGAGGATTTTGTGACAAATTTTAACAGTGTAAATGGAATTTGTAAAAAGTATCGATGATGGATGACAACAGGTAAGTGAAGTATTGGAGTACCAGTCAAAGAATTATTTTAAATCGATACGAAAATGAGTGTGATTGTGTCTGTTTGTATAGCAGCTTCAACATATTAATATGAAGTTATTTTCCATGATAACTTTGAACACTGTGCGGGACAAATTTGCAATTCCAGAATTGGCAAATCTGACTTCGTCGGTTTACAAGATAACACAAATATTTTTTTGGTCAAGTGATAGATAATCAAAAAAATTTAATTTCCTCGTATGTCCCAACATGTCACTGGTGTCACTGTTGTCACCACAGCTGATTAAAAGTATATTTCCCATGGGAATTTAAAAAAATTCCCATAAGAATATTAGAAGTTCCCATGGGAAAATTTAAAGTTCCCATCGGAAAAAGTACTTTTCCCATGGGAATTTTATAGTTCCCATCGGAACTTTATACTTGGTGCATTGCAAACGGGCAAGACTCTGTTCATCTACCAGACGCACTTGCCTCGAAACAGTTTTGGCTTCCTTGATGAGCGCTGGAACCATCTTGTAGAAGTGGAGTTTGTATGTATCAGCTTGGGGATCGGCTTGTACCGTTGTGTATGTAACTATTTGTTATTACACAGGATGAAAGACTTGTTAAGATCACAGTCAATTGAAAGAAAATGCTAATTACTGATGTCTGTTGATTGTACTAAATTCTGTTATATACGTTTTTATTATAATTATAC